ATAATAATAATAATAATAATAATAATAATAATAATAATAATAATAATAATAATAATAATAATAATAATAATAAATAATCTTGCTTTCAAATACAGTACATCAAAACAATAATTTATCAAACGTTAATTTTTTTTAAATAGAAAAATGAATTCAACTATAATTGAAATTGAGTAAATATTTATCAAAAATTATTGCCTAGATTGCATTTAAAAGTAATCAAAAATTTGGAAAAAAAGGTGGTAACATCTCAACATTAATGTTGTGGAAAAGCTCAAGTTAATGTTTCTCCAGACAATTATATGAGCTATCAGCTGAAGATATGTTGAGTAATCTCTCAATAATCTAGCCAACAAAAATGCAAATTAAATCATGGGCTTCAAGGTTTAATCAAACAAGATAAAAAGAATCTTCAATTTCCATAAACACATGCTGACTTAGTTCCCACTAACAAATACTTGAGAGGAGGAATTTGATAACTTGTTTATTTATATTTTAATAATGAAAAAGAATTCCAAAAGCAATTAAAAGGAATAATTCACTATCTAAAATGAAATCTTATCAACAATGTGAAAACAAGCCAAAAGAGAGGAAATTAAACCTTATTTAATTTATGTATTTGGATCAATTGCTCCAGTTATTCTGTATGGAAGTTATTAAATAGGAAAAGGTCAGATAGTACATGATGTATGATGACTTAAATTTTGGACCCTGAAATTAAAAATGCAGGCTTAAGTGTCTCGAACTTGGGATTACGAATATGGTGTTACAACATTATTAAAAAAGGAATTGATCATTTCACGAAAAATATTAGTAATCTTCAACTTTTTAAAATGAAAAGTTTAAATAATATTTTTACAATTAATATTATGAATATGAATGAATTACTTCCAAAAATGCGAACCAATCTTTTTGATTTTTTAATTCTCTAACGATTCTATTGGAGGTTATTTAAAATTTAATAAATAGAAAATGATCTGCATTTACAATTGTTTGTTATTAACCTAATATTAATATTAATATTAATAATAATAATGTTGCAAAAGGTCATCATTATTAATTCTACGTGTGTGGATTTCCTTAATGCAGTTAAATTATATGACTATTTCGGAAATCAAAAGGCTTGCAAACAAAGAAAAATGAAATCATCTGTATTATTTAAAAATTATTTTTCACGAGACTTTACGAAAAAAAAGAATAAAATGTTTTACTAAATCGT